ATTTGAGATTTTAATTTTTAATAGAAGGAAAAAAGATTAAATTAATCTTTTAAAGATTAATGATAATTAAATATTTAAATTCAATATTTTCCAACATAATTTAAATATTTTTATATTTATTTATATAAATCATAAATTTTCTAAAATTTTAAATTTTATATAATTATATTATTATATATTATTATTATATATATATTATTATAATTACAAGAGTAAGTTATGAAATAATTATGATAGTTACATATTTTTATTTATTTTATTCTATACATATATTAACATATATAATATATAATATATTTAGAATATATATAATATAATATTTTATTTTATATATAATATATTGTATATATTGTATATATTATATATAAAAAAACTTTATATATATTTACAAATTTTATCTTAATCTAAATAATTTTTTCTAATTATTTTTTTATTTCTATACCATAAACGTAAATAATAGCAATTAGGAGTAATATATGATGAATCTTTTATCTATTGAATCTAAAGTGGTTTTGTACTTGATTGATTAATGCTTGCATGAAATAAAGAGATCTATCTTATAATCTGTTTCATATACAAATTTTGCTTGATTTCGAATTAAAAAATCGAATTTTTAATACATATTTATTAATGTATATCATAATATTAATTATAAAGATTTCTTTAATGAATATATTTATAAAGTCATAAATACACTTTTTTTAGTATTTACATATATTCTTATTTTTGAGATATCTTATTTTTTTATATGTGTTTTATCTTTTTTTTTTCGATTGAGAAAAAATCTTTGATGATTCAAATATAAACTAAATGTATCTTATTTTATTAATTTATTTTATTTTATTAATATCTTATTTTTTTAAATATTAATTATTGTTAATAACAAAATTTCTCTAATATAAGAAATAGGATAAACTTGTTGAAAAACTACCCTTTCACAAATACATGACAATCAATATTTTAATTTTTGAATTATTTTCTGTAAAAAAATTATTGTCGTTTTATGGATTGAAACGAGATTTTTGTTATTCTTTTTTCATAATAGCATAAAAATAACAAAAGAAAAATAATGAAAACGAGCAATTAGATTCTATTAACCTAGGTAAAAATAAAAAATAAACTTTTGGAGAAAATGCTTTCTCATTCAATAATTTCAATTACTTTGAAATATATCATATCACTTTGCGTAACTTTTTCTTATCTAGTATCCTCAGAAAAGTTACTTAAAATATATTGCTCTTATATATTTCAGTCATTATCAAATTCAGTCATTATCATTGAAATCAGCGAGAAGTTTTTCTACATTGTGCATTGCATAAATAGATTGGATTACAAGATGTTAAATTTCAAATATGAATTCAAATCATAGTATTATCCAAATCGAACATTATAATATAGATAATATATAATAATTATAATATAGATATTAATGAATTTTAAATTTATAAAATTATAAATTATATTTTTAATATTTAATAATTTAAAAAATAAAATCGTATATATTTAAAAATAATACAAAGTTTCAATTTATTAAACTTAATTAATTTTAACTGATATTATATATAAAATAAATTTTTATCTTTTCTGGATAATTTTGCGTTATTTTTAATGAAACAAAATTTGTTATTTTTGTATAATTTCTCGATTATTTTGATAGGAAATCCAAGTGATGAAAAAATT